CGCCAAAATATCATATCGATATTCATGAAAGCCGTTGTAATTGAAAGGAAGCAGCCAACATTAAACAGAGTACTTGTCTGGCACGACCCAGCACACCCAATTGCCTAACCGTAGAACTAGCAAATGATTCCATATTATCGTTCCACTGCACGTCAGTGGAAAACGTGATCCCAAATTGGCCTCAAAGAGTTTCTCTCCTGGATGTTAAGTCATAGCGATACCCTATAGCGACGAAGTGATAGCAGTTTCATTTTGGAGGCGTTAAAATTTACAAGCCTTTCTTTGACCCAGTTAATCATTGACTCGCGGTCATTTTCAAGAGCAGCTGCCACTTTTATCTTGACAATTAAGGCAGGATAAATATTTGTGTCATCCGTATCAATACGTAGTTGTTAACTGACGACATTGGGAAGGTCGTTGATTAAGATAAGAAAGATCTTAGTATAGAGCCCTTGATTGTGATCTGATTCAGGAGCGTTGAAAGCGGCCATCTTTAGACGGTTTTTAAGATGGATTGGATTACGCCAAGAATTCATAGCTCTTGAATTTGGGGGAGAACGACGACAAGTCGGTATTTACTACCCTGAGGGTAGATGTGGCAAAAGGCCGAGTTTAACGTGGGACATCCGAACCCGTAGAGCACGGTCAAAAATTCGCCGTAGAACACGCACAAACGGTCTGCCTCCCCGAACGAGACTCTGCCCTTCGGCAGAGCCACGTCTAGATTCCTCTCCTGGAGTAACGGAAGCCATACTGTTTTATCCGAAAGAATGCCTCGTGATGTGAGATGCTTACCCAATTCGGCGTTGATCGAGGCTGTAGACCTCAGTTACAGTTTCTGAGAGAGGGAGAGAGAGAGAGAGAGAGAGAGAGTTGTCTAGCACAACAATGTCAGCACATTCAAACCCTCGGTCATGATGACTTGTGACTTCGTGAAATAAAGTTTTAAGGTGTGCTATATTTATGGGATAAAGTGCTCAATATCAGAGATAGAGTGTGAGTAAATATAAAAGTGAACATTGAAGTCAACACTCAGTGGCGACAGGCTGTTTCACGGTAGACACAATTGTCAGGCCGCTAGTGTCGACTCTTTATATATATGGATCAGTGGTGCATTGTGGGTAGTCCATTCTGGGGGTTATTTTGGCGGGTGTGGTTTGTTTATTTATTTATTTGGCTAACTTTATTTTACTGTTTTTATTTTTTTTTTATTTTTTTTTTTATATATTTATGTATACTTTACGGCTTTCCGTG